ACACGGAAAAACGGTCTGGCAATCGCTCGGAAACGCTTAGCGCCTACTCAGTTTTCAATCCTAACTGTGAACGTCTTCCAGGTACTCTGACGGCTGAACAGCTTGACAGCGAAATCCGCAGAGGCGTTTTCTGAGCACCCCACCTTCATTTACCTGCGCCACCGGAATCACCATCCGATTTATGCCCAGGTATTGTCTTGTTTTTGTTCAGACCAGATTTAGTGCTGGTACTCTGCACATTGATCTGATTCGACTAGTCACGCAGTGAACGGTTTACTTCGCTGAAAATCTGCGGGCTGTAACACGGATGTTTATTGTTTATTCTCTTACGTCGGAGACTTGGTTTACTCTTTACGCAATGTCAGTGCAACTGGTCGAATAAAACTTTTACGACTCGTAACTGCTTGTATGTTTATTGTTTGTTATCATTTGTTGTGGCTGGTGGACTACTTCTAATTTTCCCCGCTATGCCAATTGTGGGCAACCAATTTGTGCAGTCCGGTTAAACAGTTTTGATGTAGGGCAGATGTGGTGTATTCAGACTTTTCGCTGCTGTCGTTCACCGTCTTCACGGACGATTCCATAAATCGATTGTTCTGTTGCTTCAAGTTCTGCAGCTTTTATCAGGCTTTTGATAACTCCTGCTGACTAGGTTTGATACCAAGCGACTACGAATGCTAGCCTCCTGTCATTTCGCCCCCAACGCATTTTAATTGTATGCGACTCAAGCCACTAGATGTATCTGCCTTAAAAGGCCATGATATCCGTTTTGCTTAACTTGGTCTCCCAACGTATGATTATGCAATTGTCGCAGGTTTTACACTTAAGTGCGTTTTTCGATGTCAAGAAGCTTGTGCTGTTCGACTAGTGAAATCCGTCTAGTCTGGAGGGACTTCTACCTTTAATTGTAATTGATCTACCCGGTAAGTGTTGGACATGAACAAACCTACATTAGAATCGCTTTGTAACCTTTCGTTACCAGCTGGAGTATTCGAAGGGTTGAGTCACTGTAGCATCGGCGAACACCCCGCAGATGTTTCAAAAAATTTAGCCGGGGATTTTTGCAGCCTGGTTTGATTATTTGGGAAAACCCTACAAATTCCGTATAATATGCGATTCATCACAAGAGACAGACAACACAGAGTTAGGAAGGTTAATAACCCCAGCTTGATTTACGGGTTGTTCGTGCGGTGTTCATTGTTGACGGATGACCTGTCACGAATGCATAAGTGACTCAGTAGCTACTCTCTCCGAACATAGGAAATGGCTGACTGAAACCGATTTTGAATACCGGTAGTATAGGTCTTGTCGCTACAGCCAGTGCTACGGTTTTTCACGATGGCCATAGTTGTTTGAATGAAGTGGTGAAACTTTCTGTTGACGCGATTTTCTGTTAGATCAGCCAGCATTCAAATTACTAGAGAATGCTTTTAGCTGCTAATCGTAAAAGACGCCTAATTGAGGTAGTAGATGATATTATCACTCAGTGATCGCAAATACAGGGCGTCAATGCGCCCTTCGATTACATGATTTTTCCACACGACTAGCGAGCAGTGTAACCTGATGGATTGTATTGCGCGTGAAGCTTAAAAATCTGAAGAAACTTTCTCTTTACACAGCTAAAGGAATGCCCACTCGATTAGTTGTGAACTCCTCCATTGCGAGTCCTAAGCTCGCCTGAAAAGGAAGGACGATTCGTTGATTGTAGCGAGGTCTGCTGTAAACATTAGCCAGCTGTCCCTCATTCTGTTGCTCTTATCGAACGTTATATCGACTCAGTCGTTGCCTGGATTATAAACGGCAAGTTGTTATGGAAGTGAAGCAGACTGCGAAAAGTCGGAAATCATACCCTGCTTTTCGCCTTCCGGCAGTATGGTAACATGGTATTACATCGACCGCTGCAGAAGATCGACAGAAAACAACAAAGTTACCTGTCAGTAACGAAGCCGCTATCCGTTCTGAACGGAAGAGGCAGAACTGCGCGATACCATTATCGGAAGTCACCCGGGAAAGATACCGACGGAGGAAGCTTACAGTCGAAAATAGGAACATATTCTCACTCAGAGGGAAAGAACAGGAGCGAGTTGATGAGGCCGCGAGGTGCTGACCGGAAATGGTTCGACTCTTGTCAAGAAGCG